GGATTGTCATGGTCAGACTTGAGACTTAGATTATCAAAAAGAAAGAGCTCTTCAAAAATACTTATAGTATTTATAATTTCAGAAACACTAGAAACAACCTAAATATTCAACAGTTGAAAAATGGGCGAATTTGTTGTGCTATATTAATATTGTAGAATACTACAATCTGATTAAGTATGAAAATATAAAGAAATTTGAAAAGACCTTAATGATATAATGCAAAGCAAAGAAGACAGAGCCAAGAACAGAGCACTCATTTAATTAGGTCATGTAAAAGAAAAGAGAATGCACAGAAATGTGGTACAACAAACAAAAAACAATTCAAGAAAACTCAAAGGAAGTGACTGACAACTTGTGCATCAGTTCTATGTGTGGAAATTTTTATCTGTATGTAAAAAGTAAAAAATATTTGTTGAGGTTTAGCCGGCTGATAATTGTAGAATAGTCCCTGAAGGGAGCCTATTTTTTTGTTTGTTTCTTATCAATTTCTCCTGTTCTTTGGTTTTACAACAATAACACAACAGGATCACTTGCTCCCTGATAGTGATCTTTCACATGTAGACAGTAACAAAAAGTAAAATGGCTAAGAGATGTTCAGCTTGCTGAATATTAGCCATTTAAATATGCTGCATACATATGATTATAAAAATCTTCTGGCATTTTAAAAGGAACAAACTACCGTATGAAACTCTGAAAGTATCTAATAATTTATATCCATCTTGGAATGTTTTAATTAGTAGAGATTTAGCCCCATTTGTCCATGTAGACAGTATCCAAGAGGACTTTCTACTTAGAAGTAAATAAATCCTGTATATTTGCAGCCTTTATAAAAGTCTTAATGTTTAATCTTATAAATAAGCAGACAAGCATAACCAAATACCAAAAAAAAAATTACGATCATGCTGGTAAATGTTAGTTTTATTTTTCCTTTGTACAATATTTTTGTTAATTCTTTGGGGTGGTTTTTTTCTATATTATTTGCTGACTTTCCCTTCCAGCCTTACTGTGCATTATTCTCTTCTATACACTCTACATTGTAGACAAACTGCATGCGATACCTTGAAGTCAGTATTCTATCTCCTGCTTTCCTGCATATGCACAAGCTGTCTCACGCCTAGAACTGGGTCTGCTTTTGCTCATCAAGACTCAGCTATGGTGTTACATCCCTTCATGAAGTCTTCCCTTATCCCCAGTTGTTAATGATCCCTCCCTTCTTAAATGATCTTGTCCTTATTTTTCTGGCAAGGCAGCCTAGTACAGTGGTAAGAACTCTGGATTTAGAGGACATGCATTCAGACTCTGACCCTCACTGTGACCTCAGACAAATTACTTAATCTCTTTGAACCCCAGATTTTTCATCTGTAAATGAGGGGGTTGGATTAGAAGCAGAAGTTCCCAAAGTGGGTGATACCACCCCCTGGGGGCCATGGGAACGATCTAGGGGGCTGGTAGCCTCAGGTGCAATTGGGGGGCATTGAATAAAAATAAGGGGGCAGTGGAAGCATAAGGAAAGAAGAGAAGATAAAAATTTTGAAAAACCGTTCATAAATGTTTCATCTGTTGTGTAACAGAGTTAAAGTCATAGTGGTTACATTATTTTCCAGATAAACGCACAAAATGCAAGTTAGAACTAATCAGTGGTTAAGTCTGCCGACAGGTCTTAACAAGGAAGTATTGGCAGGCAAGCATGTTGCACGTTGTCCGGGAAGTCCAGCATACATTGGCAGGAATATGTACATGTAATGATTTGTTCACGATACGATACTATACAGTTATGTGGTGCAGTATTGTGTCATCAAAATTTCAATGCAGGAAAACCCCCTCAAATTTATAATAAATTATTAAATGTAAGATATGTCACTTTAAAAAAAATTATATTTTTTTGAAATGATGCAAATTTCAAAAAAAATTAAAGGGTTAAAGATTTTCCAGTGGGCATTGAATAATTTCTTTTTTGAAGGGGGTGGTAGACCAAATAAGTTTGGGAACCTCTGGACTAGAGGGTCTCTAAGGTCCCTGCCAGCTCTAAATCTATGATCTTATATCCCTGGGTTGGCAAACTATGAGCCTGAGTGTCAAATTAAGCCCACCCCATGTTTTTGTACTGCTGGCAACTAAGAATGGTTATTCTGTTGGTTTTATTATGTTTTAAAATGTCAGATTCTTAGCTCTCTGGCCAACCAACCCCTGCCCTAGGAGAATGTGCATTTGTTTAGAGTAGGACTTTTTATGTTTGCATCCTCCATGTTTTTCTAATAGGCATTTAATAAAGGGGGAAGTTAAATTGAGTTGCTAGCACTTACATCAATTGATTGATTTAATGGATGAGATTAGAGGTATCTTTATTGAGGTATGTTTTATGAGGACAGGGACCTGTGTCTTATCTAAACTATAAATCTTTCAGCTCATGCTACAGTAGTAGTAAGTGCTTACTAAATTTTTGTGGAATTTAATTTCTTTGTATCCTTTGTGTAGAATTGGTCTGGGTAAAATGAAATTCCTGAAATGCTATGGACTGCTGCTTTTATTGTAAATGTATATTTATATTTCATTTACTGCCTTTTGACTTGTGCCACATCTTTCATTTAGAAATCCATATGCAGCACAGGAGAAACAGTAGGAAAAGGGCCAGGAACAAAGACGAATCATTAGGAAGTCACCATGCCTTAATCTTTGATTAAAAATTGAGAATTCAATATCAACCTCAACATAAAAAATGCTTATAAAAAAAGCTTTTCAATATGTGATTTGAATGATTAAAGGAATGATATGCCATTTTGATGAACTTTTTTCTTTTGACACAACAAATCTGACACAAATATGATGACTAATTTTAGAAAAGACTGATAGAAAATTTTACTTAGCATACTTTTTCATTTTAGGGCAGACCAAAGATACTCTAGAGTCACTAATTCTTCCTGAACAGATGTACATTTTTTTGTACACAATAGAATTCATTATTTGGAAGCAATTTGTTTTTTTCCCCCCACTTTCTACGTTTTAGCAGTTCAGGTTGACAGGTTCTGATTTACCTTATTTATTTATTTACTTCTTTGTGGCTCATTATTCTTCATTTTTCTAATGATTTTGTCTTGTTATTTGGCTTAATGTTTTCATGTTGTCTTACTAGTTTGACTTACTGACATTAAATGTAAGATATTTAGAAAAAATAATTATAAGAGGGTATGTCATTTTGGCATACCAAGAAACCTTCATATGTTGCCAGCAAACTTTGATATATATATATATATCTTCAGAATCACCTTACGTAGACCATCTTACAGAAGTAAATTTTAAGCAGTTCCAAAAAAATTCTTCCTTTAAATTTTTACGTAGGAAATAACTCAGCTTAAAAATTAAAATATTGAAAATTTTGATTGAAAATCTGTAAATCATGTTAAACCAGAAATCCTTTTCAAAAGTTGTGTGTTTTCATTATTGACTCTGAAATGCCATCTGCTGGGGAAGAGATATTAAAACCAAGAAGAGAAAGCAATTTAATAGTTATATAAATGTTTTTTAATATCACAAATGAAGTAAGAAATATAGATTGATACATTAATAGAGAATTCATTTTCATTTGATAAATACAGATCATTTCTAGAACTTTACATGTATGTAAATCAATGATTTCTGAAATTTTTTCTTCCACATTTTAAATCTTAAGAGAATATCTAGTTCACTACTGGGGAGGGAGGTAAAGAATCTATGTAATAGAATGAATTCTTGAGACGAATTAGTATAGGCATTGAAGGTATTTCATATGAAGAAATCTGTAGGTGCTAGGGGGTATATTCTTGCATTAGAGAACATTTGAAAGTTGCTATATGTAGTTTTGAATTTGGGCTTGAACTATATTGATGTACCTTGATTTAATCAACTAGTTGAAAATTGAACAGCTTTTTTTGAAAGCCTATGTCGTCAAGTATTTTTTTTTAATTTTTTTTTTTTGAGTTAGGCAGTGGGGTTAAGTGACTTGACTAGTGTCACACAGCTAGTGTTATGTGGCTGAGGCTGGATTTGACTCAAGTCCTCCTGAATCCAGGGCTGGTGCTCTGTCCACTGCACCACCTAGCTGCCCCACATCAAGTATTTCTTGTTTCAACCAAATTGACCATCGTGTTATCTTTTTTTATGTTTGTACTTTGGGTACCTCAGAACCCATTTTGCTTATTGGCTGTCTGGGTGATTATGTAGTTTCCTCCCTTGCCTTTTTTTATGCTAATGTTTAAGATGGAACCTGTGTTTCCCTTTTTTTGAGAGTTATAATATATACAGGGATTTATATTGTCTGTTTCTATGAGTTTTCTTTTGTTTGAAGTGAGAACAATGTTGGCAAGAAAATATTTTTATAATTGTGATATAATCACTAATAAATTCCTCAGTTTACTGAGAGTTAGAGTTGGGGAAAACTTCCTGTGAGCCTACTTAGATTCCATCTGCTGCCTTAAAGCTACTTTCCTTAATTGCCACACAGGCCAAATGGCTTTTGGGTTCTTCTACAGCCCCAAAATAAGAAGTCTGTGTTTTATGGCTCCTTCCTTGCATTGGCTACTTCCTCTTTTGAGTGGGCTTTAAGAGTAGTCCTAGGCATATGAGTTGATGGGCAAACGTTCCTATCCTTCCTAAGAGTAGGCAGACACCAAAGGAGTAGAATCAGTTTCCTTTCTTTACATCTGGTCAGTGTAATATTTAAGAATTCTATTCATTGAGGCAGCTAGGTGGCGCAGAGGTTAGAGCACCAGCCCTGGATTCAGGAGGACCTGAGCTCAAATCCAGCCTCAGACACTTAACGCTAACTAGCTGTGTGACTCTGGGCAAGTCACTTAACCCCATTGCCTAGCCAAAAAAAAAAAAAAAGAAAGAAAGAAAGAATTCTGTTCATTGATTCTGTTTTTCTTTTGCTGAGTATAAGAAGTTTTTTGAAAGTAGGTTTTTTTTTCTCCTTTGTAAAGCAACTGTTTACCTTCTTTATTTGGTTTCTCATTGTTTGGTTTTAGGCAGTTTTATGGTCACCTTGAGACAGTGATAAAAGACATATTGGTTCCTAATCTGCAGTGGCATGCTGGAAGAACAGCAGCTGCTATTAGAACTACAGCTATATCATGCCTTTGGGCTCTTATTCACAGTGAGATACTTTCATCAAAACAGGTACAATTCTCAAATTCATTTGTAAAGCCTATATGAGAAAACGTGAGTAGTGCCAAAAATAATTTCCAAGCTATATTAAATGTAAAGTAATTCTGAGAAGAAGCTTTGAACAGATATAGTTAATAAAAATTTTCTGGTTGCACAAATATCAGTATTTATTATGAAGTATTAAGTTTATAAAACTCAGCTGTTACATTTTAACCAACTAAATTATCTGTAGTTAAGTTCAGAGATCCTGCAAAAATGTTTTGATGTGGAAAAAATGAGGAGAAAAAGTTGTTAACCTATAGCTCTGTTGAGAGCAAGAAGAAAACTTTTAGGAATATAAAAAAATATAGAAATAGAAAAGGCCTAATCAGTGAAGTTCACAAGGTTAGTATATTTTACCTCATAAACATATATTCTCATCATTTTGGTAATCACAGGTATTTAAGAAGAATTACTCTATTTTTCTAATGTTTTATCTCTTTGACAAAGATTGTTTTTGTAATAAAAATTTAACCATAGTGTAATATTAAGTTTCTGCTGTTGTTTTGAGTTCATAGCTTCTTCTGCAGAAAAATAACAGAACACCTAAGGGGAAAAAAGTTATTTCAAAATATTCATATAGTGCATGAGCACCATCTTGTGGTAGGTTAAAGAAGTGATTATTTCTAATAGAAAGTATTACTGAAATGCCAATTGGAAGAAAAACAATATATTCTTGAGTAATTTTGTCATGAAACTTTTTCATGCTACATGATTAATTATGGAAAGGGAGTATGATGCACTGTGGGCAATAACTAGATAGATTAAACAAAAATAACTTTTTAAATTAAGTAAACATTTGCTTCATGGAAGAGAATGTCAGAAATGACCAAGTATTCATTAAAATTTTACATAAAAACTATGTTTCTTTTTATATTTGTAAGTGCACATACTGTATGCCAGGTCTTTGATATAAAATTCTTATCAACAGGATTAGTTCCAATTTTGAATTAGAAGTTAATCTTTATATTTCTTGTGTTTTCTTATTAATTGCAGATAATAGAAATACAAGAATTATTGATGCCTCAAATTATTAATACACTGGAAGAAGATTCTAAAATGACTCGATTAATGTCATGCCGTATTATTAACATATTTTTAAAGGCCTGTACTGACACAATTGATCCAGAAAAACTTATCAAGATTTATCCTGGTAGGACTTATTTTCACCACCAAAATACACTCATTTTGCAGTTGATTATATTTTTATTGAACTGTAATGAAAATGTTACCAATTTTTTGTTATATTGATGCTTTTTGTTTCTAATATTACTAATAATTTTAATAATTCCCAATAACGTCTTCTCACCCCACATATACACATGTAGAATCCTCTCTTGTAATAAGTAAAATAAACTAGTTAAGCAAAAACCGTCACAGTGACCACATCTATAGCTAGTGTATTATTTTATATGATTGCATACCATCTCTCTATCAAGAGGAGGGAGGTATGTTTCATCATTAGTCCTCTGGAACCAAATTTAGTCATTGCATTTAATTTGAGTTCTGATAACTCGAAGTGGTGTTTTTATTTACATTATAGTCATTGTATCCTTAGATCTTCTTATTTCACTGTGTCAGTTCATACATTTTCCCCAATTTTAACACAATTTAACATCTAAAACATACCTAGAGTTAAAATTTTAGAGGTGAAATGAATCTTTTTTTTTTTAAGTTTTTAGGCAGTTGGGGTTAAGTGACTTGCCCAGGGTCACAAAGCTAGTAAGTGTTAAGTGTTTGGTGTGAGGCTGGATTTGAACACAGGTCCTCCTGACTTCGGGGCGGGTGCTCTATCCACTGTACCACCTAGCTGCCCCCGGTGAAATGAATCTTAAAGAACATCTTATCAATTCCATTTATTGAGGCCCAGAGAATCAATAATCAGAAAAAATTATTAAGCACCTAGTTCCAGGTACTATGCTAGGCACTGAGTAGACAAAGACAAAAAAATGAAATCATCTCTGCTTTTAAGGATCTTACATCCTGTTAGAAGACACACACACACACAGCCCCAATTTTTATTATCATTCTTATCATTATTTGGAGAATCTAGGTAGGTTTTGAGTAGAACAAAAATACTTAACAATTTTTTGTCATGGTCCCTTCTATCAATCTGCAGAAACGTGTGGACTCCTCAGAGTAATGTTTTTAAAAGCATAAAATACATAGGACTACAAAGGAACCCAATTTTTTATATATATATATTTTTTGGGGGGTGGGGTGGGTGAGGCAATTGGGGTTAAGTGACTTGCCCAGGATCACACAGCAAGTAAGTGTCAAGTGTCTGAGGCTGGATTTGAACTCAGGTCCTCTTCACTCCCAGGGTGGAGCTCTATCCACTGTGCCACCTAGCTGCCCCACCCAGTTATATTTTTTAAAAAATCAATGGACCCCCTGCAGTCTATCCATAGACCCCTTTCAGTTGACCCAGCTTAGAAATTCCAGGTGTAAAAGATGGTACTTAAATTGTGTCTTCAAGGAAGTCAGGGATTCTCTGAAGTGATTGTCCTTTCCTGCAAAGGCAGGGAAGTAGAATGTGATCAAGAGAATAGAAAGGCAAGTTAACTGTATCAGAGTTCAAGAAGGGAAGTAATGTCTAATAAGGCCGAAAAGACAGGATGGGACCAGTAAAGGGCTTCAAAAGTCAAACAAGTTAAATTACTTAACACTTTCTCATAGTCACATAGCTAGTTAGTTGAAGAACCTGTTAAGACTAACACCTATGTCTTCTAAATCCTGTCCTTTTTTAAAATTTGTTTTCTGAACTTAACAAATACCAAATAAAATGGACTTTTCCATATATGTAGCAGAGCAGAAAAACAGGATTGTATATGAAATTAAAGGTATTTACTATGTACAGCTTGCTTTTCTTTTCAAATATGTAATGGATTCAACCTGTAGTTTTTAAAACTATCCTACTTATCTATGATTCTTTCTGGCCTTCTTTCTGTTGTTGTTGGGGGGTTTTTTCCCTCTGTGTGTGCTTCAATGTCCCTGTCTTTTTTTTTTTTTGCTTTTTGTTTGTTTAATTTTTTGTTTTACCTGGCTTCTCCTTTTCTCACTCTCTCCCTTGCATGCCACCCTTCTTAGAACAAAAATGAAAACAGAGTTTGTACAATAGGCATAGTCAAGCAAAACAAATTCCCACTTTGGTTGTATCTGAAAGGGTGTTCTTTATTCTGCATCTTCAGTTCATTACCTCTCAGTCAGGAGCTGAGTAATATCATCAGTCCCCTAGAATCATGGCTGATTACTGCACTGGTCAAGGTTTTCGAAACTTTAAATTTATTTTCTTTATATATTGTATAAATTACTCTCCTAATTCTGCTTACTTTATTCTACATCAGTTCATATGAGCTTTCCCAGGTTTCTCTCAACTTGTGTTTTCATTATTTCTTACAGTGCAGTAATAATTCCTTTACATTCATATACCATAATTTGTTTAGCATTTTCCAGCAGATGGGCACACCCCGCCGCCCCTCCCACTCAGTTTCCAGTTCTTTGCTATATCAAAAAGAGCTGTTATAGATGTTTGTACGTATGGGTCCTTTTATTTATTTATTTTTAATCTCTTTGGGAAATAAAATAGGCTCAGTAGTGGTATCACTGAGTCAGAAGGTATGTGCTTTAGTAAATTTTGGAGCATAGTTCCAAATTGTTTTCCAGAATGGCTAGCCAGGGGTGGGGAACCTGCAGCCTGGAGGACACATGTGGCCTTCTGGGTCCTTGGGTGCAGCCTTTTGATTGAGTCCAAGTTTTACAGAACAAACCCTTTTATTTGGAGGATTTGTTCTGTGAAGTTTGGATTCAGTCAAAAGGCCATACTTGAGGACCTAGGGGGCCACATGTGTTCTCAAGGCCCTGGCTTCCCACCGCTGGAGACTGATTCACAGCTCCACCATCAGTGTGCCTTTTTCTTCTAAAACCCCTCCAGCAGTTATCCTTTTTTGTCGTCTTTGTCAGTCTGATGGATGTGTGGTAAAACATCAGTTATAGTGATTTAGGACATTTTTTCATATAGCTGTTTTTATAGCTTGTTTTTTTTCTTTTGAAAACTATCCTTCAACCATTTATCTGTTGGTGAATGGTTCTTATTATAAATTCAATCAGTATCTTATATAACTTGGACAGGAGACTTTTAATCAGAATTATCCGTCTTATTTTCCGTGATCCTTTCTAGTGCTTGTTCGGTCATTAACTTCTATCTGTCAATCTGAAAGGTGATTTGTTCCTTGCCCTCTTAATTTGTTTATGATATCACCTTTTATGTTTAGGTCAGGTATCCATTTGAAGCTTATCTTAGTTTATATGGTGTGATATATTGGCCTATACTTAATATATAGGCAACGAGGTGGCACAGTGGATAGAGCACTGGACCTAGAACCCATCTAGCTTCAGACACTTACTAGCTGTGGGACCCTGGGCAAGTCATTTAACCTCTGTCCACCTCAGTTTCCTCATCTGTAAAATGGGCATAATAATAGCACCTACCTCTCAGGGTTGTTGTGGGAGACAATGAAAGAAACTAATGATATGGTGTGATGCGATATGATAATTATATGATATATGAGATAATAATTGTAAAGGATTTAGCACAGCGTTTGGCAATTTACCTCTCTATTTTTTAACCTATACTAAATAGTTTTGATGATTACTACTTTGTAGTATGGCTTGCTATGGTACTGCTAGGCCCCCTTCCCACTTTTTCTTTTTTTTCATTATTTCCCTTAATATTTTGTTCCTCTAGATGAATTTCATTATTTTTTTTAGTTATATAAAATAATCCTTTGCTGGTTTGATTGCTGTGGGAATAAATAAGTAAAATGAATTAGGTAGTATAAAAATGATAACTTTTATATTGCCACAATCTAACCATGAGCAATGAACATTTCTCCGATTTTTTAGGTCTCCTTTTATTTCTGTAAAGATTGTTTTATGGCTTTAGTAAGGTAGTTGTTAGGTATATCTTGGTAGACAGGCTCCCAAATATTTTTTGCACTCTGTAATTCTTTGAATGGAATTTCTTTTGTTTATCTCTTCCTGCTGGGTTTTGTTGGTAATTTTATGGAAATGCTGGTACGTAATGTTGGTATAATGATATATATAATTTTACTTACTGTGTTATAATGATATGTAAATTTGTATGCTCTAATTTATTGTTGGTATGTATTTTATGTACCTGCAACATTGCTAAATGCATAGGTTCAGTTAAATTTTTAGTTGACTTTTTTGGGTTCTCTAGCTAGACCATCATATCATCTGCAAAAAAAAAAAGGTTTTGTTTTCTCTTTGCCCATGTTTATTTCCTCCATTTCTTTTTTCTTATCTTATTGCTATAAGCTAGCATTTCTAGTACTATATTATATAGCAGTCTTCCTTGGCCATCCTTGTTTTGCCTCTTATTGGAAAGGTCTCTAATCTTTCACCATTACATAACATGTTTTCTCTTGGTTTTGGAGGAGAGATTATTAAGGAAAGGTCAATTTTTGCCTATGCCTTTTAGTGTTTTTAACAAGAATGGCTATTGATTTCATTAAAAAAACCCTTTTTAATGTATATTGATAATAATCATGGTTTTTATTATTTTTGTTATTGATAGCGTATATTGTGGTTATAGTTTTCCTGCATTTCTGGTAAAAATCCAACCTACTAATAATATATAAGTTTTAAAAATATGTTGTTATAATCTCTTTGCTAAAATTTTAGCCAATATTTTAATGTCATTGTTCATTGGATACATTATCCTATAGTTTTCTTTCTCTGCTTTGCTCTCTTCCTGGTTTAGGTATCAAGACCATATTTGTATCACAGAAAGAGTCCCCATTTTTAGATGGGTTATTCTCAGAATGTATTACAGTATTCACCTGTAAATCTTTTTTTGGGGGGGGGACTTCATTTATTATTTGTCCAACTTCATTTTTATAATGAGCTGTTTTGGATAATCTATTTCTTCTATTTGGGTATTTTGTATTTTTGTAAATATCATCCAATTCATATAGTTGGTGTTTTGTTGGTAAATATATGGGCAAATAGTTTCCTTTATTTTATCTTCCATTTTTGGTACAATTTGGTTTTTTTTTCCCCAGGCAGTTGCGGTTAAATGACTTGCATAGGGTCACACAGCTAGTAAGTGGCAAGTGTTTGGTCTGAGGCCAGATTTGAACTCAGGGCCTCCTGACTTCAGGGCTGGTGCTCTATCCACTGCAGCATCTAGCTGCCCCTACAATTTGGTTTTCTAGCTCAGTTGTTTACACACACACACACACACACACACACACACACACACACACACACACATATATACATAATATATTCCCTTTTTTTTTCAGCCTTTTGATTTTGTTTTAATATTTCATGTTGTCTCATGGAGTCATTGCCTTCTGTTTGTCCACTTCTAAGTTCAGGGAGTTTGATTCTTGGGTAAGGCTTACTATTGTCTTCTCCTTGTCATTCTTTTTCCCTAGCTGTCATTTCTATTAACGTTGCATTTTGTATCTCATTTCATTTCTTCCAGGTACTCTTATAGTTCCAAAGGCCAGGACGTTTTTTCACTGAATCTGTTTGGACTTGTGAGGTTACTCTTTTCTTCTGTATATATCTCTTAACTTCTCATTCTGAAATACTTATTGTGTTTGGTGTTTTCCTCTCTTTACTCATTTCTCCAGCCTCACTTTTTGGATTGGGGTTTGTAGTTCAGTCCAACTCTGCTCCCCTTTGAATGCTGTTGGCTGGCTCTACTTGGTCCTGAATGTGATGGCTAAGACTAACACATTCCCCTTTCTTCAGAAATTGTCTGACTTTGCATCCTTCTTGTGGTTCAGGCATAAGAGTAAGGAAAAAAAACAAATTTAATTACGTTTGGGAAATTGTACAACATTTTCACTGATCTCAAGCTACTCCCTACAACAAAAATACATCTTTTCAATGCCAGTATTCTTTCTTTGATACTATATACTGTCCTATAATTCATAGGTGATAATAATAGTGTATACCTCACAGTTGTTGTGAGGAATATTTTACGGAACCTTAGAGTGCTACATAAATACCAACTATTATTATTATTCTAGCTATAATATATAAAGAATAAAAATAAAATTATAAGTTACTCAAAGAGCAGTGGAGAGATGCTTAGTGGGTGTAAGTAGACTGGAGCACATGTAGTATAAAAGATAAGATTCAGGAGCCAAATGATCAGAAGAGGAGATGGGCCGGTTATGTATCATGTATACTGCCTCAGTACTGTACTGGTAACTAAACTTAAGAGAGAGCCTTCAGTATGTTGGATGGACTCCCTTTGGAAGATATATAGGAAAGCCTGGAAAAGAGAAGTGTAAGTTTGCAGAGAAAATGGGCCATAATCTCTGTTCTTCAGGATTGAGATTTACCCAATTAGGTGAGATCATAGATGCACTGACATGTTTAATTTACAAATAAAGACCTTAAGTAGTAGGGAAACACATGTTTTAGTGCCTTTGTCATGTCATCGATTTTGTAACTAGTGAATAATAATTTTCATTACAAATGGATCACTTATGAGTGAATAACAACTCTTCTAATGGGTATTTTTATAGATGAACTACTCAACTCTGAGGTTGGATTAGGACAGGAAAAAATTAAAATCAGAAGTGTTAGGAATCACTAACATTTGAAGAATAGTTTTTCTGTTTTGTTTTTTAGGTATTAAACTGCGTTATAATTTCAAAGGTTATTTTAGGCAGTGGGTAAACAATTTACTTCGCTTTCGGCTTTCAAGAGAGCATACGTTGTCTGTTATGTAAATACCTTTCCTCTGAGGTACATACAGCTGATTTCATGTGCCTGGCCACCAGAGGGCAAATAAGCCCTAGAATTTTTTTCTGAGACTTTATCCCATTAGTCTTGGCCAGTCAGGTCAGTTGTTAGAGAAGGATGCTGAGCACACCGAGGTCATAGGTTTGATACATATGACTTCACGCAGAAGAAAAAAATCTTTCAAAACCATAGTCTCATGTGTGATCTCACAGTCACAGATAATCCTAAGCTATTTTATTCTTTGTAATCACCTCTAAATCCATTGTTTGTTTAAGAATTCTTCACCCAGTCCTAGTTGTGAAAGAGTCTGATCTGGTACTTTTCTAATTTTCAACCTTTAATATTCAGGTCACGTGACTAATGTGGAACTGTTTCCATGATTGTACATGTATAAGATTGCTTGCCATCTTCAGGGCGAGGGAAGGAAGGGAAGGAGAGAGAAAAATTTGAAACTCAAAATCTTATAAAAATGAATGCTGAAAACTATCTTTACATATAATTGGAAAAAATAAAATATTGTTTACAAAAAAGAATATTTGGGTCACATAGTAATGTTGAGTTTTTTTGTGGTCTACACTATTACCCTGATTTTTACCAAACTACTTTCTGCTTTTCCCAGCAATTCTTGTCAGATGGGCAGATCTCTCTTAAGTAATTTATGTTCTTGGGTATATCAAATATTAAATTGTTAAGTTACATTGTTTCTAATTTTTTAGTTCCAGTGATGTACTTTTTTGTTTTTTTAACTATTACCAAATAGTTATGATTATCCTTTACAGTATAATTTGAAGTCTAGAAGTGAATTACATTCATGTAAATTAAAAAAACCCAAAACACTAGAAGGAAGCCAGAGTCTTGATTTGGGTGATCTTAGTCACAGAGATCATATCCAGAAATATATCCCCCTTTTCCCAGCAGATATTATAGGGCAGAATGTGGCACATCCTATTAGACTTTGACACTTTTGCTTGTTGTTACTAGGTAGGCAGAAGACACTATTTGGAGGGGGCTGTGATGTAAAAACAAAAAGCATCAATAAAAGAATATTTTTAAATATCATGGGGAATATTCTGTTCTTGGTAAATCAGTGGGGTATGAGACCCCTTAGACATTTTTAAGCTGAAATGGATCTTAGAGCTTATTTAGTCGTCTTTTCATTTTGTAGATAAGGAAACTAAGGCTAAGAGTTATATTTCCTTAAAAGTTGAAAATAAATTTAATTCTCTTTTCCTACTGTCTCCAGTCATCCCTGAAATTATAATGTGTCTTCGTTTTAAAAAATTGTTCTTCAAGTGGTTCCTACCATGGAAGACTTCCTGAAAGTAACAGAGGTTATTAGTGACAGAGCTGTCAATGAAATTCAGGTCCCTTTACAACCTGTCTAGGATTCTGCCCATTTGTCTTTCCTGTTTCTTATTATTCTCTGTGTGAACCTTCTTCTTAGCCAAACTGTTTGCGAGCGTGCTTTGTGCTTTCGTATCTCTTACATCTACCTAACTATTACTCCTCTTTTGATGGGCCATATCAAATTCTGTCTACCGTGTCTGGGATCATCCTAGTTACATTTGATTTCACACCCATAGCTCCAGCCAAACTGTTACCAGAGTCCTATTGTATATGTATGTGTTTGTGCGTCTGCATTTGTGTGATATATTCATACATATATGTGTGTTTATGAATATATATATATGTATACATATTACATACACCCATACCACTTGTTTAGCATTTACTACTTACTGCCATATATTATCTCTTCATGATATATCTATGTCTTCTCTCCTCAATTAGATTATGAACTTCTTGATGGCAGAGATTAGGTCATATTTTTTTTTCTGTCTTCCATGATATCTAATAATGTCTTTAACATAATAGCTATTAAATAAATAGGTGGATTAATTCATTTCAGGTCATTACTTACAGTGATTTTTAATAATAATTGCTTTAAATTTTTCATTGCTTCTTTTAGAGCTCTTGAAACGCCTGGATGATGCTTCAAATAAAGTACGAATAGCAGCCACAAGTTCCTTAATTAGCTGGCTTAAGTGTATCAAAAATGATGATGATGGAAAATCCTTTTTTAAAGGCAATATGCAATATCTTTACAAAGAGCTGTTGGTTCACCTTGATGATCCAGACAGTACAGTTCAGGATGCAGTATTAGGTAAGGTTTTTTTCAGTTTACTATAATCCTGACCAGCTACAATTGCTAAAATGAAATCAGGAAGCAGCTGATGAGATAATTGGGACACCACTCCTAGTAGAATCAGGTAGGGCCATAGAATGAGAATGATAAAGCCTTATTCATGTCGAGGTCTTCTGCTTATGTGGTCCCAGGCCATGTGATATGTAGAAAATGATTTTGAATATATAATTATCAGTCTTATAGATAGTTTTTCAACTGAATGACTGGATTTAAAATAATACAATATTTGAATAAAATAATGTAATGTTCATGTTCTAGAAATTTTCAGTGACTACTTTTTTATTGTCCTATTTCTAGTCTATTGCTTGTTTCTTCTTTTAAATAATGTATGTTAAAGAATCTCAACGTTAGCAACATTGGGTTGGACATTAGCATTAATTTTTTTACAATAATTTTTAAAATCATGTATGTCTGTGGCTGAGTAACATACCCACTTTTGGATTAAAACAAAAGAGGTAAGGTCTTTCATTAAATACCTTCTGACATTTGAAAGTCACTAGGTCACAGTTTTTTTTATTAGAATACAAAACTGTAATAATTTCATCAGTACATGCTTAGTCTTTTGCTTTCTGATGGAGCTCCTGGATTAGGGCAGTCAGCAGTAATGAAGATGACCCAGTTATTCAGGGAAATTAATATCAATAGGTAAAATCTGCTCTTTCTTCCTCTTCCCCTCATACTTCCCTCATTCCTATCTTACACCTTCCTAATCAGAAAGATTTCTTTTTTGTCAAAAGATCTCTACCAACAACTTGTTTTATTTATTTAATTTCAAGGCTAGCAGCAACCTGAAGTTTGGTTGTCATGACTTTTTAATTAAAATTTTCTGTCACTGTTAGGTTAGACAGATATAATAAATGAGTAATTAATTCTGGAACTTTTTTTCTTTTCAGTATAAACATATACAGCTTATGTTTGCATAGGAAGCCAATGATTTCAAAATGAGGAGATGGCAGTATTTTCAATGTTCATTTATGGTTTCTGGCTTTTTTTTTTTAAGCAGAATTTTTCTGTCTTTTTCATAGGGGTTTTAAAGGAAGGAAGTATTCTGTTCCCTGACTTACTAGTGGAAGAAATTGAAGCTGTTAAATACAAACACCGATCTCTGATTTATTGTGAACAGCTTTTCCAGCACATCCAATCAACTAGAGGTATCCTCTAAATGCAAGATTCTGGAAATAGTCAATTTATTATAGTTTTTGGAGTTGTAGGGTAGTATCAAATGTTTGTCTTTTTTTTGGACAGTAATCAATGGTACTTAATTCTACAAGCAGAGTTTTTTTTTCCTTTAACAGCCCAGAGAAAGCAAGAAATAATAACATAGCAAAAAATAAAAAAGTTGTCTTTTTATTGCATATACAGTAGTCTAGGAAAACATGTTCTCTTGTGAACTTCTTTAATTTTTAAAAGCAGTATTAACGTCCATTAAATGGATTCTGTACTCAATTCACAGGTCTTTTTGTCTCTGGGTAATTTGAAATTAATTTAAATCAAATGTAGTTACCCACACTGAGAATAAAACCAACACTGTTTTTATGTCAATGTACATTGGATGGATTTGTGAGTTACAGGTATCATACTGATTAGATGCAAAGTGACTAGGTTTCTAATTATAATTAATTTCTATTCCAATAATTTTAAAAAGTAGCAAACTCAAGAAGATTTTTTACCTATTGCTTGAGTTCTGTGTGGTATAATTAATAGATAAGGTAACAGACTTGAAAATACTTTTCTGTCAAAGAATTGTCACAAGTAAAATGTTCACCATTGTCAACAGATTATAATCTGATATGAAAATAGTCATTCTTGAAGAAAAACTAATATTTGGATTGACAGTGCTGAAATCCAAATAAAGGATCAGATATAATTTTAGTTGCTTTCTTATAAAATAAATAACAAAACATATCTTTTCTTTTTAAAGCTGTCACATGTTTCCCAATGATTATTTCTTAGTACCTTCTTTTCCAAAGTGCCTTACAGACTTAAATTTTCAGGTATATATTGTCCCAATAGGCCCAAATTTATATTTGCTCAAGGGAAAGGTAGTACATTTATTTCTGTTTTGCAATAATTGATTACATATCATTTAAAATTTGTCATTTTGTATTTGAAAATGTAATTAAAGTTTTCTGTTGTATAGTGTTGGATGAATGTGTATTTTTTTTTAATACTTGGCAGAAATTTTTAGAAACTATTTTTTTTTCCACTTTTCCTTTTTAAAGACTTGAAGCTTATCCATCTATATCCCTTATCTAGGCATAACTTTAATGATAATAACTTACCGTTACATAGTGTTTTAAGGTTTACAGAGTTCACCTGTGTTTTCTCATGTCATCTTCATGTCAACCCTGTAAGTAAAGAGTGGTATTCAGTTTTATAAATGAGTCAGCTAAGGCCGAGAGTGGCCTGGCGACTTAGCCAAGTTTACACAGCTGAGTTTCGAAGTAGAGCATCAGATCCATATCTCAAGACTCCCAGGTTTGATGTTCTTCCCACTACTTTCCACTGCATCCACACTCATGTTACCTTCACTTACTAGGACAGATGTCAACTTTTTGGCACAGTTAACTACAAATCATCAAATTCCTGATCATCTCTATTGAAAACCATGATTAAAAAAGAGTAGTATTTTGAATCTTATATTTCTAAAGGCTTAAAATCAAAGTTATTGCACCATAATTATTTTTGTTGAATGCAGAAGAAAAGCCTGGGAGAGAGAAGGGACTTGTTCTTATTTGGTATTAAGTTTCTGAAAATCTGTTTTTAGCTACTTAGTAGCATTTTTCTCCCTCCCACATTTAACTCTGTCACTTAATAAAGGAATTATCAAGTTTATTATAGCTGTCATTGCACTAAGAATATAGTATACTATTGTCATTTTACCTTAGGATGATTTGGCATTTTATATCCTGAGAAAATACTAAAAGTTGTAAGCTGGAATAATTTTAGTCAGCAAGATTTATTAAAGGTTTACTGTCTACCAGGTATTGAACTAAGTACTGGTGGTACAAAGAAAGGCAAAAACATTTTCCCTGCCCTCAAGAAGCTGACATTCTCATGGGAGAGACAACATGTAACTTAACCATGTACATACAAGATATGTATGGAATAGATGAAAAATCATCTCTAAAGGAAGGGACCAGTACCTGGGGGGATGGGAAAACTTCCAGCAGAAGATGGGATTTGAGTAGAGTCTTAAGCTGAGAAAATCAAATATTGATTTACTATTTTATATTTCATTCCATTCTCTAATTTGATTCTATTCTGTAACTGCCAGGACCATGTTTCTTTGTCTCTGAGTTAAGTTCAGAAGTTCATGATTCCAGAAATTCAGTTTTCCTTTCTGAGTTTAGTTTAAAAGTTAAGTTCCCCTATAAATCACTTTAATTGAAAGAAAACTTATCTCTGTCCCACTAGCTCCTGTTGTACAATTAGAAGAAATCTATTATCCTTGAAGGGTTAGGATGGGTGCCAGGAAGTCTGGTTTGTTATCTCTGAAACAGTGGCTATCCTTCAAGAAAGTCTGGTTTACTATCACTGTGACACTAACTAACCACGCAAGTGGGCACCAACAATGAGTTTTCCGTAGTGAAAAGTTTGAAAGAGAGGTTGTTGTTAGCCCTGCATTCCAGACTTCTATCCAGTCATATTGCATTCTGTCACCTATGACACTTCAGACTTTGTAACTAATCATGTGGTTTTCCATCTGTGTTGTATCTTGTTCTTTGTTCTCTTGTACTTCCCAAAACTATGTGAAGGCTAGTAAGCTTTACCTCTTGGTCTTTTGGCTGGCTGAGTTGCTGGAAGAACCATTTTATTGGCGATTGGTAGCTTTACAAGTAAATCCAATATTCTCAAAACTTTGTGCCTCAGTTTACCTTAATTTCAGGTGTGACTGAAGGAAGCCAGAGAACCTGACAGTGGGGTGGGAAAGAAGAGCATTCCCAGACATAGGAGACAGCCAGTAGAAAGGCATGGAGTTTGGCAGTGGACTGTTGTGTTCAAGGAACAGGAAGTAGCCCAATATAGTTGTATCATGGAGTGCATGAAAGAGGATAACAGATAGGAAGACAAGAAAGAAAGAAATGGGCCAGGTTGTGAAGAGCTTTAAATAGCAAATAAGGGGTTTCCTATTTGATCCTGGAGGTAATAGGGAGCCTTTGGAGTGTATTAGGTAGATGAGGAATTGGGGCAAGAAAAAGACATGCTCAGCGGCACTTCAGGAAGATGGCTTTACTAACTGAGTGGTTTGGAGGAGCCTTGAGAGAAGGAGATCAAGAAGGCCATTGCAGTAATATATTGGTGGCTGTATGAGTGGAGAGAAAGGGGACATAGATGAGAAATGTAAAGGTAGACATGACAGGATTTGACAACAAGTTAGATATTCATGGTGAGTATTGAGTAAGCAGTTGAGGGTGACACTAAGATTTTGGCCTGCAGTGACTGAGGGAATGGTAACAACCTAACAGTAGTAGGAATGTGGGGTGAAGAGAGAGTTTAGGAACGCAGTTTTGTTTTGGACATACTGAGTTAGGATGCCATCAGGACATCAGTTTGGGATAATGTAGAATTGGAGTTCAGGAATTATTGAATCCATAGGAACTGATGTGATCAGGAAAATAGAATAGAGGGAGGAGTGAAGAAAAGCTAGAACAGAGCCTTAGGAAAGCAGTGTCATGAAAACCAAGAGATGAAAGAATATCTAGGAAGAGATAGTTATTTGTAGTGTTAAGCACTCCAGAGAATTAAGAGGATGAATATTGAGAAAAGTCCAGTAGATTTGGCAATTAAGAGATCAGTGGTACTGTCATCCAGGCGTGTATAAGCTATTGAATCTACTTTATCTGCTCCACAAATGACTTTATTGATGTTTCTTTAAACACAGAAGCAAGAGGGCTATCATAGACAGGATACCTAATTTGGACAGAGGTTGGAGTAAATGACATCTGAAATCCTCTTCAGGTATTAAAATTTCTTGCTTTTATGGTATCATATTCTAATGCTTATTGCTAATAACCTCCTAGCTTTTCTGTGAACTTACTTTCTATTATAAGAAGTTAATTTTTAAAAATAGATTAGATGGAACAACTAGGTGGCTCAGTGGATAGAGTACTGGCCCTGGAGTCAGGAGGACCTGAGTTCAAATCCGGCCTCAGACCCATTACACTTACTAGCTGTGAGACTCTGGGCAAGTCACTTAACCCCGTTTGCCTTACCAAAAAAAAAAATAGATTGAACTATAATCTTACATCATAATCCACAATAAATTCCATATGAATAAGTGATCTAAAAATAAAAAAAGAACACACCACCACCACAACAAAAAGGGAAGACAAAAGGTAGTCTCTTTGACAGATATGGATACGGGACAAATTTTTTACCAGCTGTGTAGTATGGAAAAAATTATAAAAGACAACAATAGATAATTTTGATTATGTACAGATAAGCAGCTTTGGCACAAGTAGAATCAGCATAGCTGGGATAAGAAGAAAGGACATGGTAAGGGAAATTCTTCGCATTTAACATTTCTAATGAAAAATCTGACATCTAAATCAAAGCTAGCTGTTGTCATGAAAAAATGTTCTAAATCATTATTGATCAGAGAAATGCATATTTAAACAACTGTGAGGTACCACCTCACACCTATCGGATTGACTAATATGACAGAAAAGGGAAATGGCAAATATTGGAAAGGATGTAGAAAAATTGGGACACTAATACACTGTTGGTGGAGTTGTGAACTGATCCAAACATACTGGAGAGCAATTTGGAACTATACCCAAAGAGATATAAACTATGCATACCCTTTGCCTCAAGCAATGTCACTACTAGGTCTATATCCCAAAGAGATTTAAAGAAAAAAAAAGAAAAGAAAAGAAAAAAGAAAAGGATCTATATGTACAAAAAATATACATAGCAGCTTTTTTTGTGGTGGCAAAGAATTGGAAATTGAGGGGGATGCCCATCAATTGGGGAATAGTTGAACAAGTTGTGGTGTGTGATTGTAATGGAATACTATTGTGCTATAAGAAATGACAAGCAGAATTGTTTCAGAAAAACTAGTAAGACATATACGAACTGATACAAAGTGAAGTGGGTAGAATCAGGAAAGCATTGAACACAGTAATATCAATATTGTATGACATCAACTGTGAATGACTTAGCTATTCTCAGAAATACAATGATCCAAGACAGTTCCAAAGGACTTATGATGAAAAATGATATCCACCTCCAGAGAAAGAACTGATGGAGTTTAAATGCAGATTGAAGCACACTTTTTATTTATTTATTTGTTTGTTTGTTTTTGGTGGTCTGGGTTTTGTTTTGCAACATGGTTAATATGGAAATGTGTTTTGCACGACTGCACATGTATAAGCTACATAAAATTGCTTTGCCTTCTCAGGGAGGGTGGGTAGGAAGGCGAGAGAGTATTTGGAACTCAAAATTTTAAATAAATGTTAAAAATTTGTTTTAAATGTAATTGGAAAAAATATATAAATTTTAAAACTCCCTTTGTTGTTTTTGAAATAGTTATTGATGCTGTTTAAAAAAAAAATCAAACTTCCCAATGACTCTGCTCCATTCCATCCCCAATCCTAAGGGAAATTCCTTCAAAACAAATGAAGTCATACAAAATGAATAAATATGGCCATATTTAAAAATGTGTACTTTATTACTTCTCTAATATAGTATCTGGCATACTCTGAACTCAAAATTGGTCACCACATTAATCAGAGTTTGGAAGTGCCAGATTGTTTTTCCATATATTGTTATCATTGTGAGAAGCAGTATGGAATAATGAATAAACATGGCGTCATAGTCCAGAGTCCTGCTTTTGATACTTACTGGCTGTTGAAATTGAGTAAATTACTTAACCGCTCAGTACCCTCAGGAAACTATCTCAGTACTACTAGTGGCCATCTGCAGTGGTGGAGGTAGTGTCTGCAGCTAGGTGGTGCAGTGAATTGAGTGTTAGACTTGGAATCAGGAAATCCTTAGTTTGAATCTTGCCTCAGATACTAGCTTTGTAACCCTGGGTTTCTTTATCTGTAAAATGAAGATAATAATACTATGTACCTAACAAGGTGGTTGTGAGGATTAAATGGGAGAGCACAAACAGTGCTTTGCACACTATGTAAATGCTAGT